ATAAATTAAAAACATAAATAAACGCAATACAACAAAAAAATAAAATATTTAAATTTACAAATCACAAACATATTAAAACGAGTGATTAGTCAAACTGACTGAGCCGGTGACAATTTTCGCGTTATATACAGTCGATGGGGTCAATGACCCGCAATCGAAATATTATGAATTATAACCATTATTTCAATTTATTAAGCAAAGGAAAATAGGAATTACTAAGAAACTGTATATCTTCCTTCTTGTTAATAGTAAAATTATTGCATTTAATATAAATCATCTCAGAAATTAATCGTTTTTTATAAGAAGTTTCATAATCTAAAATTTCTGCATCGTCAAAATTAAAAGAATGATTATATTCAGTTTGATGTTTGTTCACAACGGATTCGAGGTTTTGTTTTTATGCTCGCTAATTCTTTTTTTCAAAGTACGCTTTGATTCACCAATATATGTTGCAGGGCAACTATTACAATTAAATTTATAAACAATATTATTCCGATCCCACTTTTTTGTCAAGTCCTTTCCTAATTTTATTACAGAGCTTAAGCTTTTTTCCACAATAGGAATAGAAAGTAAATTATATTTTTTTAAAATATTAGATAATTGATAATAAATATCATTGAAAGGAATACAGATTTTAGGTAGTTGTTGATAAATACTAACGACATTGTTAGTTTGTTTTTTATCTATTGTTTTATGAATTAATGTATGTTTTCGTTTTTTAATATTTTTTTGTATAAATTCTAAAGGGTAATCGTTGTTTTGCAAAATTTTAAAGATTCGTTTAATGTTTTCATTATGAAAGGACTTGTGAGACAATAAAATTGCTCTATCATATAAATTGTAAACAATGTTTTTCTTTTGTTGAATTGGATGACGTGAAAAATAATTTATCAATCTATTAGAAGAAATGGATTTTTGATACCAATTAGTGATGAGTTGATTGTTATTTTTTATTAATGTCATATCTAGGAAATTAATTTTATTATCCATTTCTAGTTCATGAGTAAATTTTAAATTAATATTAAACGAATTAAAAGTGTCAATGAAAAGTTCGACTTGATCTTTGTGGACGCACAAAAGTGTGTCGTCCACATATCTATAATAAAATAGAGGAACACAATTGAAATTGTTTTTAAGCAAATTCAAACAATCAGTTTCCACGTCATCCATTACAATATCCGCAAAAAATGGAGATATCGGTGACCCCATCGGAGTACCGTAAATTTGTTTATAAATTCTTTCATCAAAAACAAAATAAGTATTATCAAATAAAAATTCAGTACAATTAATAATGTCAACAAAAGGAATTTTACATTTATTATGAATAATATTGTTTCTTCTATCAAGGCTTTGTATAACTAAATCGCATGGAATATTAGTGAAAAGTGAACTAACATCAAGAGAAAGTAAAACAAAATCTTGTGGTACAGTAATATTCTTCAATTTTTCTTTTAACTCAAAGCTATTGTTTACATGAGATTTTGGTAAAGGAATTACAGTTTTTAACTCTTCGTATATGATTTTGGCCAAAAAATGAGTTGGACTATTTATTAGCGAAATAATAGGACGAAGAGGTGCATTATCTTTATGAATTTTTGGCAAACCATAAAATTTTGCCAAAGAGGTATTAGTCATAGTTAACTGATTATTATGATATTTTCGTTTAAGAAATTCATTGTCATTTAAATTTTTTAAAATTTTATAAGTTCTTGATTGTAATTTGGATAAAACTCCTTTCGTTGAAATTTCTTTATAAGTGCGTCGATCGGAAAGTAAGTCATGGGCTTTGGAAATGTAGTCTGATTTTTTCATACAAACTGAAACATTTCCTTTGTCTGAATTAGTAAAAAATATGTCAGGATTTTCTTTCAAGAAACTTTTTGCAGAATTTAACTTAATGGCAAAACTTCTGTCTTCAAATGTGATGTTGTTTTTTTTGGACAGATTTGACATTACACTATTACTAACTTTTTGTCTAATCTCATTTTTGACTTCAGAACTAATATCTAAACTCGAAATAGTACATTCTAAATTTTTTATAATATTGATAGATTCTTGTTTCGAAACATGTTTAGAATTCTGTTTCGTACAACTGTAATTTTGGCCCAAAGAAATAACATCACAAACTTCTTGAGGAATGACAGTATTAGTTAAATTAATTAACCAATTTTGTTTTTTTGAGTTAATATTATGAACAGAGTTTTTCTTATTAAGTAATGAATTAAATTTTTTAATTAGTTTGTGGTTACAAAGTGAGTGAATAGATGAAAATTTTTTCTCAGAAAACAGGAAAAAATTATTTAATACTTCTGAGTCAATGTGACATTGTGAGATTTTGTTTTCAAAAAATTGCAACTTTTTAGTCAAGAAATTGAGATGAAAATGAATATCTCTAATCTCATGACTAAGTAAAGTGCGTGAATAATAAAGATTAAATTTATGAAAGCTTTTTTTACATGAATTACTATGAAATGAAATATGATTAGATCGATTACTTATATGAAGAAGATGTTGCGGAATGAGTCCATTGCTCCTGCACCTTAGCAAAAAATGTCGTTTTGATGATGTTTCAGCCAGCTGACGTTTGACAAATTAGACAAAAAGTTAGTAATAGTGTAATGTCAAATCTGTCCAAAAAAAACAACATCACATTTGAAGACAGAAGTTTTGCCATTAAGTTAAATTCTGCAAAAAGTTTCTTGAAAGAAAATCCTGACATATTTTTTACTAATTCAGACAAAGGAAATGTTTCAGTTTGTATGAAAAAATCAGACTACATTTCCAAAGCCCATGACTTACTTTCCGATCGACGCACTTATAAAGAAATTTCAACGAAAGGAGTTTTATCCAAATTACAATCAAGAACTTATAAAATTTTAAAAAATTTAAATGACAATGAATTTCTTAAACGAAAATATCATAATAATCAGTTAACTATGACTAATACCTCTTTGGCAAAATTTTATGGTTTGCCAAAAATTCATAAAGATAATGCACCTCTTCGTCCTATTATTTCGCTAATAAATAGTCCAACTCATTTTTTGGCCAAAATCATATACGAAGAGTTAAAAACTGTAATTCCTTTACCAAAATCTCATGTAAACAATAGCTTTGAGTTAAAAGAAAAATTGAAGAATATTACTGTACCACAAGATTTTGTTTTACTTTCTCTTGATGTTAGTTCACTTTTCACTAATATTCCATGCGATTTAGTTATACAAAGCCTTGATAGAAGAAACAATATTATTCATAATAAATGTAAAATTCCTTTTGTTGACATTATTAATTGTACTGAATTTTTATTTGATAATACTTATTTTGTTTTTGATGAAAGAATTTATAAACAAATTTACGGTACTCCGATGGGGTCACCGATATCTCCATTTTTTGCGGATATTGTAATGGATGACGTGGAAACTGATTGTTTGAATTTGCTTAAAAACAATTTCAATTGTGTTCCTCTATTTTATTATAGATATGTGGACGACACACTTTTGTGCGTCCACAAAGATCAAGTCGAACTTTTCATTGACACTTTTAATTCGTTTAATATTAATTTAAAATTTACTCATGAACTAGAAATGGATAATAAAATTAATTTCCTAGATATGACATTAATAAAAAATAACAATCAACTCATCACTAATTGGTATCAAAAATCCATTTCTTCTAATAGATTGATAAATTATTTTTCACGTCATCCAATTCAACAAAAGAAAAACATTGTTTACAATTTATATGATAGAGCAATTTTATTGCCTCACAAGTCCTTTCATAACGAAAACATTAAACGAATCTTTAAAATTTTGCAAAACAACGATTACCCTTTAGAATTTATACAAAAAAATATTAAAAAACGAAAACATACATTAATTCATAAAACAATAGATAAAAAACAAACTAACAATGTCGTTAGTATTTATCAACAACTACCTAAAATCTGTATTCCTTTCAATGATATTTATTATCAATTATCTAATATTTTAAAAAAATATAATTTACTTTCTATTCCTATTGTGGAAAAAAGCTTAAGCTCTGTAATAAAATTAGGAAAGGACTTGACAAAAAAGTGGGATCGGAATAATATTGTTTATAAATTTAATTGTAATAGTTGCCCTGCAACATATATTGGTGAATCAAAGCGTACTTTGAAAAAAAGAATTAGCGAGCATAAAAACAAAAACCTCGAATCCGTTGTGAACAAACATCAAACTGAATATAATCATTCTTTTAATTTTGACGATGCAGAAATTTTAGATTATGAAACTTCTTATAAAAAACGATTAATTTCTGAGATGATTTATATTAAATGCAATAATTTTACTATTAACAAGAAGGAAGATATACAGTTTCTTAGTAATTCCTATTTTCCTTTGCTTAATAAATTGAAATAATGGTTATAATTCATAATATTTCGATTGCGGGTCATTGACCCCATCGACTGTATATAACGCGAAAATTGTCACCGGCTCAGTCAGTTTGACTAATCACTCGTTTTAATATGTTTGTGATTTGTAAATTTAAATATTTTATTTTTTTGTTGTATTGCGTTTATTTATGTTTTTAATTTATTGACGTGATGTTTATTTATTGACTTTAACTAGGTAAAAATTGTTTTTTTATTTTTTGTTTAAATTTAAATTTTCAAAATTTTGTTGTATTAATTTTTTTATAAAAAAAATTTTTTCTATTAAAGTGACCTGATGATGGTGGCGAACCTGACCACCGAAACGTCGTCTATTTTATAAAAAAGTAAAAGAGTGTTTTTCTTTTACCTTTTATATACGTCTTCCAAAAATCGAAAAAATTAATTTATTAAATAACTGTGGAAGAATTTACTAAATATTTTTAAAATATTTATTTAACAACCAAAAATAGACAGAAATCGTCAAATATTTTGTACATTGTAATTACATATTACTCGTCTGTTAGAATTATCGTTGAGAAAATTTGTTCTGGAAATATGTTCCTGTTTCAAATTTTAGACTGTAGACGGCTCTGTTTGTTTTCGACCGACTGTTCATAGCACGTAAGTTAAGAGTATAGCTGTGGTTTAGATCAAAATGTACAAGTAAGTGAAATTTTAAATTAATTTAATATAACAATTACTGTTTTGTACTTATTTTTTGTAATTATTTTTAAATATTTTCTCTATAAATACTTTTCCATTTTAAGTGTTCAGCCAGAAGAAGTTGAAAAATCAGCTGACAGCGGCTCGCGTTCGCAAGCATAGAATTTTAAAAAAAATTTTCGAAAAAATTAATGCTGTTCCAAACGGAAATTTAGAGGACGAAACGGACAATGAATCTACGCTGTCTAATACTGTTCCAGGTAAAAAATTATATACTACATATTAAATATAATTATATATGGGAAAGATATATTTACCGTTAAAAAGATTTTAGGTTATGGTTAATTTTAAAGTGAAAATCAAACATTTTTATTCAAGAATAAAATTACATAAATATGATTAACATTCAATATGATTGGTATTTAAATCGCTAGTAAAATATTCAATGAAAAATATTTTTGATTCCAAAAAACTTTAAACAGACTCATTATAATTAAGATAAAACAATCATAAACATAACCTAAAAATTTTTTTCGACATGTACTTTTTACTATAAGGCGACATATATTATATTTTTAAGAATTCTTGCTTTGTAAATTTTATTTTGTTATACATCCTAACTTTCTAAAAGTAGATCATTAAAAAAAGTTAGGGAGAATTTTATATATAATAAAATTAAATAAAAGTCGCATAAAAATTTCTTGGAAAAATTCACATTTAGGAAAAAACAGTTTTAGCTTTAAGATATATTTCTGTTATAGATAACGAAGAATTCACTTTGGCGGAAATTATTGGCGAAACAAGTTACAACATTCCTTGTTAAGTTGAAAGTAACAAAGATTCCTCTTCTGAGATAGATTCAGAGACAGAAGATTCATCAGACAATTTATCAGACAATTTATCAGATTGTGATACATCGTCATCAAGTGGTTACAGTTCAGAAAATGAACTTTTATTTTCTGACAATGAAGTTGATCATTTAGATCATCATGAATATGAACAAAAAGAAATCAAAGAGATACGTTCCTGGGCAATAGAAAATAACATCTGCCAAAGCCATCTTGACCAATTATTGCGAATTTTAAGAAAACGGCTACTGCCTGATTTGCCTGCTTCTGCAAAAACATTGTTGGGTACATCTTCTGCACAATATGAATTAAGGGAAATGCTTGGAAGCGATGGTAAACCCGGAGAATTTGTGTATTTTGGCCTTGAGAAAGGAATCATAAATTCTCTTAATGAAGAAATACATAATAGCGATACTATTTGGCTGCAAATAAATGCAGATGGTTTGCCCCTTTTCAAATCAAATTCTTTACATCTTTGGCCTATTCTTTGTAAAATACATTATGAACCAGACATATATAAACCGTTACCAGTAGCTATCTTTTCCGGAACTACGAAACCTATGTGCATAGATGACTACTTAGAGGAGTTTGTTATAGATCTTGATAATATTTTGGAGAATGGGGTTATTGTTGGAAATAAACATTTTAAAGTTCAAGTACATTGCTTCGTCTGTGATACTCCGGCTCGTTCTTTCTTGAAAGATGTAAAAGGCCATGGAGCTTATTATGCTTGTGAGCGTTGCACCGTACGTGGCAAAAATGTTGTACTGCTAGGGGAAACTAAGGGACGCGTTGTTTATCCTTCAATAAAAAAAGAGAAAAGGACTGATGAATCCTTTAGGTCCCGAAAACAGGAAAAGCATCATAAAGGAACTACTCCATTGATAAACTTAGCTTTGAATTTAGTCACCATTTTTGTCCTGGATTGGCATTGGCATTACTAAAAAACTAATCGAATATTGGTTTCAAGGAAATCATGCTGTAAAATTAAGCAATGCTCAAAAGAGTCAATTATCGAAATATATCGAAGATATGAGAAAGCAAATTCCTGCAGAATTTCAAAGAAAGCCGAGGTCAATTTTTCACTTTAGTCGATGGAAAGCCACTGAGTGTCGGTTTTTCTTATTGTACAGTGGTCCGATTCTTTTAAAACGCGTGCTAAAAAGTTCATTATATAAACACTTTCTTTTATTACATACTGCATGCCGAATTTTAAGCTCAAAAGAATTATGCATTCGTTATAATTCGTATGCAAAAAATTGTTTAATAAGTTTTTTTAAAATTTTAAAATACTGTTATGGACCAGCGTCACAAATTATGAATGCACACAACCTTATCCATTTAGCCGACGATGTGATAAATACAAAGTGCAACTTAAGTAAAATAACTTCTTTTTCATTTGAAAGCACATTAGGAAAAATAAAAAAATATATTCGTAGCGGAAATCGAACTTTGGCCCAACTTAGCCGCCGTTTACATGAAAAATATTTTATTTCAACATCAAAAGCAGTTTTACCTCCTGAAATACAAATTTTGAAATCTAAACAAATGCGAAATAACATTTTGAAAATTCAAAAGCTAAAATACAAAGGTGTTACAATAACTGCTAAAAGTCCTGATAATGCAATAATATTTAAGGATAAAACAATGTGCTTAATTCAGAATATGTATTTAAAAAACAACGAACCGCTCAAAAATATTCAATTACAAGGAGTTATTTGGAAAACCAAAAAGCCCATTTTCAATTATCCGTGTAAGTCTAGTTTTTTAAATATGTGGAAGATGAAGAGACAAATGTCTTCAGAGTATGTAAATCGTTTTATTGCTGAAATTGATCACAAATTGGTATTATTGTCTTTAAAACCGACTCCTGAAAAAAATGAGAAACATTTCATGATTCCGCTTCTTCATGTTTGAAATTTAAAAAAAAATTAGTTGCAAAAAGTGAATAATATATAGTTTACAAGCGTCTTTTGTAATAACATTGTATTTAGAATTATAAAATTTAAATCTATGCGTTCTTTATAAATGTAAAAGCTTTAATTTAAATATACACAAACAATGTTAGCATTTAAGAAAATGTTGCTTAAATCGTCTATAATAGTAGTTCAGAGTAACTAGAAATCTAGAAATAATCGAAAAATAATTTTGAATAATATTGCTTTTCAAACTAATTTATATTATTGTTATAACTTTAATATAAATGTTAATAATAAAATAACATAATATTAAACATTTTATAATACACTTTTCTACTAATTTAAAATTAATATTTAGGTATTTTAATACAAAAAAATAAGAGTTTTGTATTTTAATAAATAAAAATACAAAAATTATATAATTTATAGTTGTAATGTTTGAAATTAATTTTTATTTCATACCATGTTTTATAAGCATTATTAAAATATTTATGTTTTGTAGATTATTTTTTACTTAATTCAAAAATTCCGCGTAATCTAATTTCTATGCTCTGATTGGACGTACAGTTGACTTGCGCGCTCACGTGATACGATCCTAACATCTCGTGTGCCTCGTGTGTAAAAGGTCCAGAATATTCTGTAGGTTTTTGATACTCTTGTGATCTTGTGATTAAAGAAATTAACAAACGACAAATTATTTGTATTTCTCACCATCTTTTGAGGCACGTCAAAAGTCGGCTTATCGAAAATGTCGTTGAGGTAAGTGTTTATTTTAGTTTATTACAATAGTCTGAGTTTAATATTTTGTAGTTTCCAAAGAATGATTCTTTCAAATTCAGCAAAAAATTAACCTATAAATATAAGCGTCACGGTAATAATTCTTTTCTTATTAATTTATTAATTGTAGTTCCAAAGAATAATTCTTTCAAACTCAGAAAAAATCTAACCTATAAATATAAGCGTCACAATAATAATCTTTTTCATATTAATTTATTAATGTTTTTAGGGAGGATTATCATAAATTCAGAAGAAACCGTAAATATCAAATATTTCAATTCGAAAAGGACGAAGACGACACAGATGAGGCTGCAGCTGCTAAAATACGAACGTGGTACGATCTGGCACCCACAATTTGGGTTCGTTATGATAAAACTAAAAACAAGTGTTATACGAAATTTATGCCGCCGCCATATACGAATAACAGATCAACTAAACGACGTAATTTGGTTAAAAAATGTGCTGCAGCGGAATCGGATTGGCCGGAGTATGAAATTATTTTAAAAAATGATGCAGGTAATATATAAAAAAAATTTGTGTTGAAAATATTTTTCTATTTTGTGACTGTTAATTAGTAAATGGCGAATTCGAATTTTTTATGTTTCAGATGATTTTGCTAAAGCTACAAAGCGCGTTTAAAAGTTAGTCGAAGGCGATGAAATCGGATTTATATCGGATACAGCAATTAATAAGACAGCACAATCCAAACGTACATAAAAAAAATACAATAAAGGTCCAACCAAAATAAATAACCGCAAAATAGAAAATGCTTTTGCTAAAGTTTCTGATGTGAACATTTCTTCTGGTGATTCGGATGAGGATGAATCGATTTCAATTAGTAAGTCTTTATAAAATTTATTGTTCTTTATTGACATTTAAAGATTTTCTGTATATAATATTTAATCTTAAATTCAAGTAAATTTATTTTCAAAAATTTAACCATTTTACTTTTAATGTATAACAGGCAGTAGTTCTGATGGTGAGAACACACCTCCACGTAAACTTTCCAAATCAGTTATTCAGAGAAAATCAAGTAAATAAAAGTTTTTTAAAATAATAAATATATTTAATTATCATTATTATTATCAATAAAAATTTAATACATGTCATTATGAATTCTTTTAGATCAAATTAACTTTAATGGACAAGAAAAAATTAAAACTTTTCCATTTTTGCTACAAAACGAGGATAAGGAAACAAACTGCAGCGAATTACTTTCAAAATCTGCAACGAATTTAGAATCTACTACAGTTGGTCATACCAACAAGCCAGGTAAATACAATTTTCTGAAGATATGAGTCATCACAGATGAATGATAAAGAATTTATTGAAATAATTTTAAGAAATAATACTTTGATAGAACGAATTCTTAATAATTGAATATTATGCTGTAACTATAGTACTAGAGAATTTCAAGAAAACCCTATAATATTTTTTTTAAAATTAGTCTTTTTAAAATGTATATTAAAATTCTTGACATGAAAAAATTACTAAACATTTTATACATTTTTTAACAAATTCTTTCAGGACAATTGAATTTTGATGATGAAGAAGAGGCAATAAACCTACCATTACGACAGATGACCTATAATAAATTACTTTCAACAACTGCAACGAATTTTGATGGCATTGTTGAAAAATCTAATAAATCAGTTAAATTGGTTTCAAAAGTTTTAAAAAACAAAGATAATGGTTTTGTGAAAAATACGAAATAGTTTTTCCATTAAAAACTTTCGACGAATTTGAAGTTTTTGATAAGAAATTAAAAACAAATGGTCAACTGCGCGATCATTTCGTAAGTGTTTTATAATTTCTAAATAACAAATATATTAATAACAATAATAATAGATAACTATGGTTACATTAATTTACATTCTTTAAAATAATAATTAACAGATATTAATTGGTTGTTTTTAGAAAATAGAGTTGCAGTTTTATGTGGTCCAAAACAAAACATTGACAAAAAATTTAACTTTAATGTTGCAAAATTTGATCGACAGAGACGTATTAATGTGCTTTACGACGATAAAGCAAGTACAAGGAAAACATTTATTTAAAAACACTACATTTTGTCAGTGTTTAATAGGTAAAAAAAATTTCTAATAAAATACAGTATAAACGTAAAAGTGTATATTGTTAATAATTTATTTAAATTATGTTTCAGAGATTTTTAAAAGCAAGTCTATTGCAGAGAAATCAGAATTTCAAACCACCAATTTTTACAAAGATTTAGGGGTTGTAATTTCTAATTCAAAAGATTGGTTTGGCCATCGTGTGGCGAAAAAAATAAAACTTCTGTAACAGCGAACCAAGAAGATTTAACTCTTGATAAGGTACAAAGTGAATAAAATGTTAAAACATGAAAAGTTCAAAGAAGAGTAAAGTGAAAACTAATATGAAAGTACTTGTATTAAAATTTTTTCTATTGTTACATTTGTAATATTGTTTAATTTAAAAGCTATAAATAAAAGTTTAATTCTTTAAAATTGACGATTGACAGTCTGGATATAGTAACGATTTTTTATATTATCAGAAATCACTTATTTGTCCTTTGTTCTTTAACGATTAAAGTGAAAGGAATGAACATTGAGTGAAATTTGATAATATAATTAAATTGTTACTGTATCCAAACGCTTAATTTATTTTTTTCTAAAAATGTTTCCTAGATTTTAGACAGTATCTGTCCAGAACTTGTCCAGTTACTGGACAGATAATCTGACCAGTCACTGCAAAAGCATCGCGTTACATTTTTAAACAGTCACTTGCTAGATTATCTTGATAGTCACTGGCCAGAAACCAGAAAAACTTTTCAGTGACTTGATAAAACCGAGTCAAAATTTCTACCTGGGTCCGTATTTAATCCGGAATTAGTCCGAAATTTTTACCAGGGTGAACTTTGAATTATAAAATTGAAAAATTTTATACTATGTTTACTGTTTATACTGTTTTTTTAAAAATAATTCTACAAAGAGTTACTGTTACATTTAGTTCTTCTTTCACCAACAATATTTCTTTTTTGTCAACTAAAAAAATGCCCTTTTTAAAAATATCCCAAAGCAATGTATACAATTTTCGCTTGAATCGAGCAGATGTACGCAATTAGATAAAATTGCTTGCTTTATGTCGCTTGTGATCGATAAACACACGGGGTTAAAAGGACCGTGAGAGAGAGAGAAAGAGAGAGAAACCTCATAGCACATATAGAGAGGAAGTGAATCACATAAAAAAAATTTTTTTCCTCCTTTTTTTGATTCCCCACTGGTAATAAATTATCTTTTCCTCTCAACTCATCATTTAAAGCAGGAGATAGAGATTAGTGGGGTATAGATCATTTTTATGAAAGCGGCTTTTCGATTTATTTTTTTGCAAAAGTGAATTATAGTTTGCAAAAAAAAAATTTTTTTTTCTTCATAAATACATATATCATAAATCATTGGCGCTGATTTACAGAAAAAGAATTTACACTCTATATATATATGTGTGTGTGTGCACAATCAACTAATGGATAAGTAATAATCTATTATCTTTAATTTTAGTTTGATATAAAATTATAGTAGTCATCATCGTCATTATAATCATATTTTTGCCATGTGAGAAAAAGGCGCGGTTCCTCTCTCTCTCCTTCTTGTTGAATATAATATCGGAAAATATGATGCGCCATATGCCCTTAATCGTGTGCCGTATTTACCAAAATACGTATAATAAACATCTAATTATATCCCCTAGACACAAAGCGCATCTGATGTGAGTTTTTCCTAATATTCTAGTATTTTACCCTGCATATTTTCTCGATTAAGCAAATATTACAGTTTCTCGCTTATTTATTGTCCAATAAAGGAAAAAATGAAATGCTTTTTATACTGTATATATTAAATTATAAATCTCCATTTATAATAATATATATTAATCTACAATTATATAGATTTTTTATTGTATTATACTGTAATTTATTATTTTATCTTTCTAGGTGAAGACATATTTATTGCCGTTATCCCTATGGCATATATATATATATATAATTTCCCACACAGCACATGATATTTCCTAAATATTTCCTGAATATTTCACTGAAAGATTGAAATATTTCAGTGCAAGGTTCTTGAAATATTGCTGCAAATTGAAAATGTCCGCCTATATGAAATATTGACGCGAAAGTTTTAGAAAATATTTCATTGAAATATTCCTGCAATATTACACATGACGATTCTGCAATATTCTGAAAATATTTCACAAAATTAAAAAATTTGTTAAACACCTGAAATCAATAGGAATTTTGTGAAATATTTTAAAACCCATAGGATTCTAGAAAGCTAAAAACTACTGCGCAGCTCTACAGGCCATAGAAACTGAGTTCGACCAGTGCGCATAATTTAAGTTGAAAATTTCCAAAATATTTCAATGAAATATTTTCTAAAACTTTCGCGTCAATATTTCATATAGGCGGACATTTTCAATTTGCAGCAATATTTCAAGAACCTTGCACTGAAATATTTCAATCTTTCAGTGAAATATTTAGGAAATATTTAGGAAATATCATGTGCTGTGTGGGTTATCTACTTAACACGTAACTCTACATAATTTAATTTACGTAATTCTACGTAAATTAGCATAAACAAACAAAGCATTAACGTAACATTAACGTTTTTAACGTAAGCTATAAACTAATGTAATTCTATGCAAAGTAACCTAACATGAAAGGCAGAAATAGAAATTAAAATGTAGGTCAATTGGTTAATAGAATAATAATCATATGGTATTGTGTCTTTACCAGTTTTTCAAAAATGCTTTTAATTTTTAGGTTATGTATTATTTACTGGCGTTCCAATTAAAATTATAGTATTTCAAAGAAACAGTTTTTTATATGTTCTACTTAAAATCGCCGGGTTCATATTTTGTCTTTTTCAGTTTTTATAAATCTTTTTGATTTTTAGGTTATATAGGTATTATTAACTCTTGTTTTACTTAAAATCTTCGGGTCAATATTTTGTCTTTTTCAGTTTTTATAAATCTTTTTTTAATAAAAAGAAAAACTTTGTGTCACTTATGACAAGGAGAGTGAATCAAGAAAAACATAGAATAGCAAACTTGTATAGAGAAAATCTAAAAAGCGATTAAGGATCAAAAGCGCTATCTACACAAAAGTAAATGAATTAAAGGCGGGAATTTTAAATTTCGATGAAAAAATACGTAGAAGTGATAATAAAAAAGTACGTTTCCAAGGTGAAGTGGGAAAATAAACACAAGTGAAATGAAATTAAGGTCAAAAGTCATGTTCAGAAATATATCTTACGAATAAGTAGATTTTGTTTACCCAACATTGACCTAAAACAGCTTTGAGTGAATAAATAATAAATAAAAGTTATGAGTCACATTTTGTATTTGATTATTACAAATACAGAGGATTTAAAATAGCATTTATCAAATGGACATGTATGACTATTATTTCTAAGTATAGGACTAATTATGGTACATGACATTTTCAAATTGACCCCTTAAGTTACTGACATAAAACTTTTTCACATTGGTCATCGTGTAATCTCACTCGTTGTGTATAGTGTAGTATATACCAAGAGTCATCTATCAATCGATGAAGATAGATTTAATGCTCGATTAAGACTAGCCATATATATATATATATAAGGTCCCTTTTCTCGTGGAGCGTCACATATATATATAAGCATAGCGATTACTATCCCCATCGGCAGACAGTATGATGCCTCGAGGAGGCTTTATACTCCATTACGCATAAACACGAGGCGTGCAACATTAGTACACTACCTCTATATACATATACATACTACACATAACTTTAAAATCGTGTGAAAGTACCATTAAAGTACTTTAAATTAGTATAAATAAATTAATATATTTCACTTAATTTTCTATTTTACTAAATAAAAGAAAAAAGCTTTTCCAATTTTGCAGTTAAAAAATATTTCTTATCTCCTAAAATATGGTAACCTATTTGCAAAAGAAGAGAATACGTTTTTTTAAAGAAGAAATAACGGTCGATTAGTCTTCGACTTGAGTATTATTAAATGTATAAGAGAGCATGCAAGCAGGGATTTACATTTGGGCCTTGGAGCATTTTCTTTATGCTCTTAAAATACTCTTAAATCTCGTTTCAAAATAAAAAATCGGAGAAAAAAGTGTTACACTGTAATTCGTATCCGGAATAATTTACATAAACATTCTATTATTTGCCGAATAAAAAAAATTATCATCATCATTTTAAAATGATTAAATTTTATTAGTGTAATAATTTCAAGGTAAATTTTACCTCAAGAGAGTAATTTTAAAGTCAATTTTTGTAGTTAACTAATAAAAGATGTAAAACTTATACCTGTATCAATTTACCACAGAACTGAAATTATTATATATCATTATTATTCAACTATACGCTTTTTTAAAAAAATAAGTAATTTAAATATTTTGATTTTAATGTAACTTTTTATAAATTAAAATAATATTTCAGATATGTGTGACCATCTTTTTTCACAATATAAAATTAAAATAAACAACTAAAATTTAAAAAAAATATTAAAAAATAAAAAAAATAATTGTAATTATTATATAACACAGTGCAACACATAAAATGTGCACTAAGTTTTGACTTCAGTTTCTGAAAGTACTTATCGAAACTAGCAAAAACCTATTTCAGTTTTGCTAGATTAGCTCGGATTTAAATTTTATCGACATTTGAATTTTCACATTTTTCAGTTTTCTGATACGGGCTGATGGGAACACTGGCTATAAAAAGTTTATTAAAAAAATTCGCAATGGTCAAAATTTGAAAAGCAATAATCCCTCTTTAATTAGAAAGAAAGAAAAAAAAATTTGGTCGAAAATTGTTCCAGTTACGAATTTTTTTTGGCTTGTTTACATTTTTTGGTTTTATGAAACGGGCGGGTGAGAAAGCTGGCTATTAAAAGATTATAAAAAAAATTCGTAGTGGTAATCATTTGAAGAGCAATAATTCGTCTTTAATTTCTGACATTAAAAAAAAAATTTGGTCAAAAATTGTTCGAGTTATGAATTTTTTTTGACTTTTTCACATTTTTTGGTTTTTTGATAAAGCGGGTGGAAACGCTGGCTATTAAAAGTTTATAAAAAAAATTTGCAATGGTCACCATTTGAAGAGCAGTAATTCCTCCCTATAGTTTCTGTCATTGAAAAAAAAATTTGGTCAAAAATTGTTCGAGTTATGAATTTTTTTCGTACTTTTTCAAATTTTTTTTATTTTTGATCTGGGCGGGTGAGAACGCTGGTTATTAAATTTTTCTTTTTTAAAAACGCAATGGTCACATTTTGCAGAGCAATAATTCTTCTTTAATTTCTTTCAAAGAAAAAAAATTTGGTCAAAAATTGTTCTAATTATGCTTTTTTTTAC